AATGAATTTTAAATGTGCTCTGTCGAAATGACATTTTAATATACCTTACGTACATATCTATGTACCTTTGTGTACAATAAAAGTTTAATGAGACGAATTTTTTGTACATTCATTTGAAAATGACGTTTTTTCAGACCAAGACGGACGTTTTCTCATGCCGAAGACCTGGCAACGCTGGTTACACCTTGCAATTTTAATTTCCGAAAGTGATTTCTGCAAATCTGCAAAAAGACTTTCTGGTTGTTTACACGGGAAAGTAGACTTTCGATTTCGCATTTTGACAGCATGATCCAACTACAAAAGATCTGACAAGATGAAGCAAAAGAAAAAAGTAATTTTCTGGCTGACGTTTGTAATTTCGGCGCCATGTTATTTTCTGTGAAAAGTAAATAAAGAATATGAAGACGAAGCATAAAGAAAAAAATGCAAACAATGTTGTAGCACATGTTTGTGCTAACCAATTTATTATTTTTGTACGTGTTTTTGCATCCAATCACCGCGCACTTCATTTTAATTACATTTGCCCAAAAAATTTATTGAGAATCGCTTAAAAATCACTAAAAGAAACCACCGAAAAAATACACATAAAGAAAGAAGCATAACAGAAATGGCAAACTTCAAAATTACGAACGTCACACACTTTTTTCTCAATTGCTATTACAAATGGCTGCTTCTCAACCGGTCAGATCTGTTCTAATTGGTTCATGTAGATAAAGCGATTGCATTGCCACTTTTAAGTAGCTGTTAGACGTGGAAAGGGCAAGTCCTTTTGAAAAGTTTGTCAAACTCAGAATTTTCAAAAGGGATTGCAGGAGCAGTTAAAACTACAATATTTGGGTCGAATCTAACCTTTCGGTTCTCGACGCTAGTTACTTTTAGTTGGTCGATATGGCGTTTCAAAGTGTACCCGTCATCTAATTTTACTAGGTAATGCAGCTTGCCGTACTTACGTAGGACAATCCCCATTTTCTAGATGGTTTTATTATTCATTGTGTGTAGAGTTGTACTCTCTCTCCCACGCTTATTTGTCGCACACCCGGAGTGATTATAGTTGACTTAGCCTGCGCGGTAGGTTTCAGTGCGTCCAGTCTGATACGAATACGTCTGTTCAAATAGAGTTCTGCCGGACATTTCCCGCAAATAAGCGGTGTTGCTCTATATCTTTGCGAGATTTCGCTAAGTTTTAATTGAATAGATCCTGATTCATACGTCATAGCTTTCAACTTGTTTTTCAACGTCTGAACATTTTTTTCAGCCAGCCCATTGGTACTTGGGTGTCCTGGAGCTATGAGTTTTTGAAATATACCATTTTCCTGCAATATGTTTTGAATATCTCACTGGTGAAAATAGTGGCATTATCGGATACTAATATTGACGGAAACCCGTGTGTGGAAAAAATATCTGCTAGAAGGCTTATTGTTATTAGCGTGGTTGGTGAATTCCGTATGGCTCGAAACTCAACCCATTTCGATTTTGCATCGACAACTATTAGAAAATGGTGATTTTGGAAAGGGCCGACATAGTCTATATGTATCCTTTCCCAGTTCCCGGTTGGTTCCTCCCAATGATGAAGTGGAACTTTTGCTGGTTTTGATTGAACCTGGGCGCACGCCTCACACGATCTTACCATTCTCTCAATATCGCGATCGATTCCCTTCAAGTAGCAGTATCTTCCTGCGAGTTGTTTCATTTTCGTTATGCCTGGATGTGTGTGGTGGAGTTCACGTAAAATGTATAATTGTTTTCGTTTTCATTAGTACAAATGAATAAATTATTTAAAATTTTTGAAAGATCAGGGGCTTTTGCCATTCCTTGTGCTAGCATTTCAGCATTTATGTATTCATTTGAAATTTCGAAAATTGATAATTGACATAATTAATTTACCTCTTCGTTGATGAGTTTGTCTGTGGATACTCTTTCTATGGCTGTGGTAGCTCTGGAGAAGCAGTCCACATTTACCTGTTCTAAACCTTTTTTATACACAATTTCGTAGTCAAAGCTTGATAAAAATTCAGCATATCTCAGTAACCTTGCTGAAGCTTACTACTTTGATGAAATATCCGTGTTAAGGGCCTATTGTCAGTGACCAGTTGGAAACTCCTTCCGCACTGGTACATAAAAAAATGGTTGACGGAGAACAAAATCGCTAGTGCTTCGCGATCTAGCTGGCTATAATTTTGTTCAGCCGACGTTAATGATCTGGATGCGTATGCAATCGGACGTTCTATGTCGCCTACTTTATGAGATATTACCCCTGCTATTCCTGTAGGACTCGCATCGCAGGCAACAATAACTGGCAACTCTGGATCGAAGGGTATTAAGACCTTTTCGCTGGAGATGATATTTTTCAATTTTGAAAGTGCTGCTTCGCAGTTGACCAATAATACTTTACGTGTTTTCGTAGTAATAGACGTAATGGGTATGTTATTGACGACAAATTCGGTGTAAATCGGGCGTAATAAGTCACCTGGCCTAAAAATCTCCTGACTTCGTCAGCAGAAACTGGACGTGGCATTTCAGTGATCGCTTGAACTTTCGATGGAGACTTCGAGATTTCGTTGAATTGAATAACATAGCCATGATATTCTACGCGTGTTTGAAAAAAAGAACATTTATTCTTGTTTAGGTGCAGATTACGCTGTTTTAACAGTTGGAGGCAATTAATCAAGTTTTCCTTACACTCTGCTTTCGTAGCTCCGTGTATAATGATGTCATCGAAATACGACATTGTGTTTTTCTGGCCGGACAATATTTGTTCGATTATATGGTTGAATTCTGATGGGGCGGTTTTAATACAGAACTACAATCGGTTTACCCTGAAAGTACCCTTATGTGTTGATATGGTCTGCATTTCACTAGATTCTGGGCACACTCGAAGGTGTAAATAAGCTTTAAAAAGATCAAGTCGACAAAAATATTTCGATCCTTTAAGGGCCGTTTGCACCATGTCTAGTTAACGCTAAGGGTATGTAGTATTTCGTCGGTTCGGCGTATTGGGTAGTTTGAAGATACTAACTGTGGGTTGACTCCTATTTTGTAATCGACACAGATCGTCTTATCCACGTTCGGCCTAGGAGAGCATCATAGCCATCCGGTACAACATACATATCTTCTTCTCAACAATGGTTATTGTATTTAACTAACACTTTGATTTTACCGTCATGTATTACTATATTTTTAGTGTATGATCGAAAAGCGATAGTTGAAGGCTGCAGTTTAGTACTGATATCGAGACGTCTGAATTTATTTCGCGGTAATAACGTGAATCCATCACCTGAGTCGACCTCAAATTTTTGACGGTGCCCGTTTATTTCCACGTTTACGTAATACTTTTCCATATCATTACCGGAATGCTGGTTGGAGTGGATGTCGATTATTTGATTTATACCGTAAACTTGATGAATCGAGTCATCAAACTCGACTTTTAAGAAAATCTTCTAGGGGTGTATTGTCTCGATGTCTACTTTACTCAAACAATATGACAATTAATGCATATTCTCATTTGGCCAACGTTCGTTGGGTCCGATGTCGCAAGGGCTGCCAATCTGACGCTCCCTATCAAAACACACATACGGCGCGTTTACAAAATATCGAACGTGAGCGTTGATTTACAAGTTGCAGAAATGCGCATTTCGCGCGAGCTATTTGAGCTAAAAACAAAAAAGTAAAAAAGAAGAGACAAAATTACATACACATCAGCTTCTCTTTAATTATTATAGTTATTTTGTTATGAATTTGTCTTCTTTCTTGCACAAGACGTCAAAATTATTGTCTGCATACGTCAAATCATTGTCCGATTTACTGTCTTCAAAATAATCAAGACAGTGATTAACGGCGCGTTTACATTAGACAATGCTGTAAAGACAATAAAGAAAAACGCATTAATTGTCAAAAACGCTGATCATTGTCTCCGTGGCGTAGGCGTCCTTACAATAGTTATTACAATTCATTTTGAGCAAAAAGTTGGACGTGAAACGCATTTCGAGCGAGCTATTTAAGCTAAAAACTAAAAAATAATAAAGAAGAGACAAAATTACACATCAGCGTCTCTTGTGTTATTTTAGTTCTTTTGTTATGAATTCCTCTTCTTTCTTGCACAAGACGTCAAAATTATTGTCTGCATACGTCAAATCATTGTCCCATTTACTGTCTTGGAAATAATCAAGACAGTGATTGAGACAATTGGAAGAGTATGCAGTGAAAAATTGTGCATGTATTGTTATTGTCATGACAGTATTGTCCGGTGTAAATCCTAAAGCTTGATATACAGTTCAATGCGAGCGTGAGCGTGAACGTTCACAAAGGCAAAGAATTCCATTTGTATTCTTATGGACGCTCACACACATCTATCAAAACTTGCCGTTCACATGCGAATGCTTTGCGTATGCACACAGTTGAGTGTGAGCTTGAAAAAAAGGCATTTTATGCATTTTAAATTAGTTTTTAATCTAAATTTCTGAAAGATATTTTATTTCTCTATCTTTTCATGTCTCAACTATAGCAAAAAGTTGAGTAATAACTAAGATATTGGTCAAAATAAAAAGCTCACGCTCACGCTCGCATTGAACTGTATATCAGGCTTAAGGGCCAGTTTCTCAGTGCACGGCCGCGGTTTAATTTATTATTTTTGTACGTGTTTTTGCAACCAATCACCGCGCACTTCATTTTAATTACATTTGCACAAAAAATTTATTGAAAACCGCTTAAACATCACCGAAATAAACCACCGACAAAATGCACATAAAGAAAAAGCAAAACAGAAATAGCAAACTTCAAAATTACGAGCGTCACACACTTTTTTCTCAATTACTATTTCAAATGTCTGCTTCTCAACCGGTCAGGGGGTCAATTCTCGTTCTGTGATAAGATGAAGTGAAAAAAAGTTTTCGTTTTCACAACTACTTTTCACTCTGCCTTTTCACAGACACTTATTTTGCGATTCTGGTTTGTGCTGTGAAAATCGTGTTCCATTACCACTATAGTCGTGAAACTTTTGCAACTGTGCTATTGAATTTTCGAAGTAAATGTCAAAGTTGAGGAAAACGTAAACAAAACATGTCGGGAATAATTATTTTATTAGAATTATCGCAAAGAATTCGAGACGAGCAAAGGTAATAAGGTGTAAATTTTTTAAATGCAGTATATACAATTTAACGTATTATGTATTTCAGAGATAATTTCAGAGTGCTCCGACGCAGACTTCGTGACGACCAAAATCCTTTGAGATTACAACAGACGAGCATTTCATTGATTTATATCGGTTCCCTAAAGCTTTGTGCCTGGAATTAATTAATGAATTAATGCCATTTATGCCAAACTCGCAACGGAGACATGCTGTTCCGAGTCATGTAATTATTTTAAGCGCCCTGCGTTTTTTTGCCACTGGTAGCTTTCAAAAAAGTGTGGGGCAAGACAGTTTATCTGCTTTATCCCAAACATCAGTTAGCAGATGTGTGCAAGTGGTGGCAATTGCACTTAATAACATAGCCCACAGACATATAAAGTTCCCGATTTCCTGGAATAATCGGACTCATAGACGGAACGCACATCAAAATATCAGCCCCGAAGAAAGAAATTGAGTATGTTTACTATTGCCGAAAGGGTGGGCACTCCAAGAACGTTATGATAATATGTGATGCTGATTATATCGTTTTGTCTGCTAGCGCTCGGTTCGGAGGTACTGCTTATGACTCATATGTATGGCGTCGCTCTCGAGCTTGCAGAGCTCTGGAGGAGCTTTATGAGGCGGGTGAGCGCGATTTTTGGCTTCTGGGTGATAGTGGCTACCCACTACAGGTACAATTTATATTATTTTTCTTTGTTAAAGATCTAATGCTAATATAAATTTTAAATTAGCCTTGGCTGATGACACCAATTAGTGCGACATCATGTACCGCAGAAGAGCGCTACAATATAGCACACAAGTCAACTCGAGCTCTTGTAGAAAGATGCATTGGCTTACTAAAAACAGATTTCGCTGTCTGTCGAAGGAAAGAGCCCTTTTCTACAGTCCACCAAAAGCAGGTTTCATAATCAACGCTTGCGTGGTTTTACACAACTACTTGATTCGGGCTAGAGTGCCGTTCGATGAAATTTATTTGGAAGACTCTGAAGAACCTGAAGAATGTGGTGGCCCTTCTTCAGCTATTTCAACACAATATATTATCCATTGCGAAAAGACAACGATTGCAAATTGTTCAAAATGCTTTTACTAATGACATTCAAAATTAGATTGAAAATAATTCAACTTTTTATTTTTCATTCGTATTTCTACTTATTTACATATATTAATAAATATGCATATGTATATTATATTTCAAATGTTAAATTCTTTTTAAAGGCAGTTTTTATCACAAAAGGTTTTGTTCATAAATTCATTGCAATGAGGACCTCATATTTTCTTAAAGACTAAAAAATAAAAAAAAAATTGAATTCTTTCATATTCGATATCTCATATTAGGCTCCAGAAGAAATATAAAAATACACACATAGATTGCTATATTTCCAAGATAAGTATTTTTAAATGCAGTTTTTATCACAAGTAAGTTTTGTATATAAATTCATTAAACAGAGAAATTCATATATTTTTAAAAGCTAAAAAAAAAATCATATTTTCATAGACACTAGACAAAATAAAAATAGAATCGACTCCATATTTTCCTAAACTCTAAAAAACTTAAAAAAAAAAACGACTTCATGTTTTCTTTAATTCTAAATATTAAAAGTAAAACTGACTTCATATTTTCTTAAACTCTAAAAATACTAAGAAGAAAAAGGACTTCAAGTTTTCTTAAGCATTAGAAAAAGGTATAAAAAAAATTGTCTAATACTTATGGACAAGGCTGTTTCTAAAATTGAAACATTCTCACGGCCGCCTCAAAATTTCAATTAAGTGTTGTATTACTATTATTGCCTCTGTCTGCTCCTTCACCGCTTGGATCTGTTCGCGTTTTAAATTATTGGCGATCTCCATTTCCCTTACCTTGATTTCTTCTAGCCTAAACAATTTTTTTAACTGAGGGTTTTCTGCTTGCGCCTTTCTTTTTCGCCCTCTCGAACGGGCTGCTGCTGTGCAGCCTCTTATTGATGCAGCAGTTGAGGTGCTCGCCCCCATCATTGGACACGTAGTTGCATCTTCCAATGTGGTTGCGGCTGCAGTACCATCTAACTCGCATTCAGCCACAACAACTTCGAATGTCTCCTCCACAATGTCAGCGAGATTGTGAGAAGCTTCTGCCATGTCGAGTGCTTCAAATCCCACTTCGCCCGTTTCATCACCATCGACTGCCTGCACAGTTGTAATCTTAATTATGCGCTCTTCCAGCGGTGACAGTGCTTTGGCCCGGCTCAAACCGTTTATACCACTTCTCTGCTCTGCCTGCCTTATTGCACTATATTTTGTGCGAGTATGAAGTCTGTTTGTAGGTATTAAAACAAAACATTAAAAAAATAATCACATCATGAAAAATTTATATACATACTTTAAATCGCTCCATTACTTCTTCCATTTTGCACCATCCTTTTGAGTGCCGCCAAGAGCATTAAGGCTCACCGCTAGTTCTTTCCACTTTTCTTCGCGAAATTTGGCACCATCTGCCGTCACAAATCTATAATTATAAATAACTGGTATTCGTTTGTTTATGTTAAGAAGGCTTCATACTTATCGTTTGCAATGTCTACATTGCCTAGATAATTTATTAAAAACTCTTTTTGGTTTTCGCTGGCGCGCTTTCCTCTTGGTATATTCTCCATCTTGTTTTCACGTATAAATAGGCTGTGTATAATTTTCTTACATATGATAAGTTTTTGACAGTTGGTTGCACTGTTTCACAGAACGAGAATCGTCAGGGTTGTGAAAAAGTGAAAAATTTCGTTTCGTTCCACTTTTTTTTCATGTGAAAACACTTTGACGTTTCTTTTCATTTTTTCACTGAAAGCGAATCGGAAGTGCAATGAAAACGCGAAAAAAGTTTTCATTTCACCGTTTCACAGAACGAGAATTGACCCCCAGATCTGTTCTAATTGAGAATTTCGTTATGTAGGTTGGTCAACTGGTTGGCCGATAAATCAATGCGTGTGTAGGACCTTTAAGTGAGACAATTGTGGAAGTATGCATGCATTACGGCGCGTTTACATTGCACAATAAAATAAAAAATGGCAACGATTTGACTATAAAAAGGCAATAAGATGACCATCGAAAAAGAAAATGAACGTAAGATTGGCGGCGTCTTGCGCTTATTTGCCAATAGTACCAATAATCAATACTTATTTGCGTGATTTAGTTATTTGCAAATAAAAAATTAGCTCAGCGTTTATACGGCAAAGTTTACCATTTTGCAAATTGTTATTTGCAAATAATACGTGCGTATAACATAGTATTAGTTGACAAAAAAGCTGATAATTGTCTTCAAGACGTAGGCGTCCTGACAATAGTTAGGACAATTCATTCTGATCAAAATATCGAACGTGAATGTTGATTTATAAGTTGCAGAAATATGCATTTCGCGCGAGCTATTTGAGCTAAAAACTAAAAAATAAAAAAGAAGAGACACAATTACATACACACCAGCGTCTATTTAATTCTTATATCTACTTTGTTAAGAATTTATCTTCTTTCTTGCACAAGACGTCAAAAT